GGATCCGCCAGCTGGGAATCCTGGATCCGCCACCTGGGAACGCCGGATCCGCCAGCTGGGAACGCCGGATCCGCCCCTTGGGAATGCCGGATCCGCCAGCTGGGAACGCTGGATCCGCCAGCTGGGAACGCCGGATCCGCCAGCTCCGCTCTTCGTCTGCGTTGGCCGCTCCGCCCCCAACCGCCCTCCTTTCACACATACACACTACTTAAAAAACCAGAAAAATAGCTTTATTTCTTGGAAGAGCCCTTGGAGCGCGCGGGCGCTCAGCGCGGCAGCGGCCGCCGCACCTTCCTGCGCCGCCTGTGCTTCGCGGCGCCCTCGGCCTGCGCGGGGGCCGGGAACGGGAACGGGAATGGGAACGGGAAGGGCCCCGCGCCCGGCGCCCCGGCGCCGCCCGGCAACACGCGGCTGAGGAAGGCGTGCAGGTCGGCGCTGCCCTTGGCCGGAGCCCTGCGGGACGGAGCGGAGGGTGGGCGGCGAACGGGAGCGTCCCGCGCTCCAATGGGAACGCCCCACGCTCCACTGGGAATGCCCTGAACGTCCCATGCTCGAGTGGGAATGTCCTGAACATCCCGCGCTCCAATGGGAACGTCCCACACTTCATTGGGAACGTCCCACACTCCACTGAGAACGTCCCACGCTCCACTGGGAATGCCCTGAACGTCCCATGCTCGAGTGGGAATGTCCTGAACATCCCGCGCTCCAGTAGGAACATCCCACACTCCAGTGGGAACGTCCCATGCTCTCAAGGGGAACATCCTGAGCGTCCCGCATTCCCAAGGGGCATGTGCCAAGCGTCCCGTGCGCCCTGTGCTCGCAAGGGGAATGTCCTGAGCATCCCGCACTCCCAAGGGGAACATCCCGCGCGCCCCGCGCTCCTAAGGGGAACATCCTGCGCTCCCAAGGGGAACATCCCGCGCGTCCCGCGCTCCTAAGGGGAACATCCCGCACTCCCAAGGGGAACATCCCGCGCGCCCCGCGCTCCCAAAGGGCACGTCCCGCACGCCCTGCGCTACCAAAGGGCACGTCCCGCGCGCCCCGCGCTCCCAAAGGGCACGTCCCGCGCGCCCCGCGCCCCGCCGGGACCCCCGCGCCCTCACCGGTGTCGCCCGGCGGCGCCGCGCGGCCCGGCCGAGATGTGGTAGAGCACGCGGTGGGTGTCGGGGGCGATGGGCACGCGCTGGCAGCCGGCCCACTCTGCGGGAGAGCGGCGGCTGAGCGGGGCCCCGCGCGCCCAGCCCCCCGGCACCCCGGCACCCCCGGGACCCCCGGCACCTGTGACGTCGAAGACCCTGCCGCCCGTGACGGCCAGGTAGGTGACGCGCAGCCCCAGCAGGCTGGACTCGGCCCACAGGTCGCCCTCGCCGGCCGCGTGCAGCCGCCCGCACGCGGCGCAGTAGCGGGCGCGGAGCGGCTCCCGCGGCACCGCGAACCTCCTGCGGCGGCGAGGGCCGGCGTGAGCGCCGCGCGGGCTCCGCCGGGACCGGGAGCGCCGCAGGGGCGGCCTCCGCGGAGGCACTGGGGAGGCTGGAGGAGCGGCCTCCGCGGAGGCTCCATGGGAGATGGGAAGGCCAGAGGGGCGGCCTCCACGGAGGCTCCGCGGGGAATGAGAACGCCGGAGGGGCGGTCTCCGCGGAGGCTCCATGGGGAGCTGGGAATGCCGGAGGGGCAGCCTCCGCGGAGGTACCGGGAGGGCCGGAGGGGCAGCCTCTGTGGAGGCTCCGCGTAGGGACCCGCAAACGCCAGAGGAGCAGCCTCCATGGAGGCTCCACAGGGACCGGGAACGCCGCAGGAGCGGCCTCCGCGGA